TGCTCCGGTCTCTTATTGACACAGTTGTTACAGTATAAAACAAGCAAGGCCCTCACTGAGCTTGTGGTAGCGAGCACAGATCCTGAGGAAGAACACAAGTAAGACAGAGGAGAGAGAGACTTGACTGGCTCGTCCGCGGTGAGTAGACGTTGACATTAACCATGAACCGTCAGTTTATAGAGATATCTCCGGAGCGAAATGCTCGAAGCGAAAGGGATTTGAAAACAACAATAACAACATAGAGACATCTGCAATCACTGTTCAGATTCTGATTTAGTCAGTCAGTTTTGAGAAAAACAACAAAGTCAACGTACATTGTTTTGGGTCGTTTGGTCGACTTTAACTGAATGAGTATCTATTAAGATTAACCATTAACCATAAACAATCAATGTAAAGAGGTATTTGAAGTCTGTGTTCAGATGCTGATTTAGCCTGTCTGTTGGGACTTATTCTGACAATGTTAACGAGCATCCTTTTGTGTTGTTTGGTCTTTGCTATTTCATCTTAGATTCGACTTTATCCAAATGAAGTCTATAAAGTATGCCACATGTTTTCTGTCAACTGTACCTATAATGTACCAGAAAATACACCCACCTCTGAGCATTCACCACAATTTGAACGAGTTTTTGTTTTTTGGTGTTTTACTGCATAATGCCACATTAGCGCGAGGGACACATTAAACATTTTCAGCTTTCAGGACATTTTGAATTTTGCCTGGGTGGCGGCCAAAGCCTACTCTTATCGATTTTAGACCGCCAAGGGATCTTTAACGTGCGCAACTTGCACACGGGATCTACGAGATGTTTGGCCCATATCGGACAAGGCTAGGTGTAGATCTTACCTACCATAAGATCAAGGGTGTGGCTGAAAGACAACAGTAAGAAAGAGCTCAGGAGCAGCAGTAGAAATCCAGCAGAAAGAGTGCAGAGCCCAAAGGAGGGGGCAAAGGAGGTGAGGGGGGTAGGGGCAGAAAATGGAGACGAAAGTGGACAACAGAACATTGCTAGAGAGCAGGAAATTAAGTGAAAGGAGACAATTTTAGAGAAGAACATTTTTCCGTCGCTATACGGATTCGAAAGCGGGACCTAGTGAATAGGAGGCGAACACCTTAACCTCTAGGCCACGAGAGCCCCCCAATAACCTCTCCTTTCTACAAGTTTTCCCTAATATATATATACATCCCCAAAGAAAACAGTTATCGTCTGTTACCTGAAATGCTAAACAGTTTCTATTACTAAACGCGTTTTATTACTCCAATCCTCCGAAACAGTTACCTTTTATTCCCCTCTTCCTAATCTCCCCAGGTCAAAGAACAGGTCAACCAATTAAAAAAACAAAACAAAGCAAAATAAAAGATGCAGACCGCCAGCTCCATTTTCTTGGGCCTCGCGGTCCTCACCTGCATGGCAGGAGCCCAGTACTTGTACAAAGGTCCCCTGGATCCCAGTGTGTGCTCACCGGCCATCACGTGGCTTGCCCACTCCAGCTACCCAGGAGACTGCCACAAGTTTATCGTCTGCACCGACGGTCAGCCTCTGGAGTTCTCGTGTCCTGATGGCACTGTGTACAGTGAGGGCACCAATCGGTGTGTGGAGAAATACAGTCGCTACGATAAGTGCACAGGTCAGAAGTTTGGGGTTTTTAAAGTGGGAGATGTGTTTGTAGATTGTTGCATCATCATCATCATCATCATCATCATCATCATCATCATCATCATCATCATCATCATCATCATCATCATCATCATCATCATCATACATACATACTACTACTACTACTACTACTACTACTACTACTACTACTACTACTACTACTACTACTACTACTACTACTACTATTACAACTACTACTACTACTACTACTACTACTACTACTACTACTACTACTACTACTACTACTACTACTACTACTACTACTACTACTAGTACTACTACTAGCTGCTGCTGTTACTGCTAATAAAAATAACATTTCGTTCGCCATTGGCGGATGATGACCAATACACCCACAGAGGAGAATATTTCTCCCCTGAAATAGAAGAATTAGAAGAAGTAAAGGTTACAATGACTTGTGGCTTCTGCTGTGGTCGATGAGACCAATTCTGGCAGGGAAAAGCTTGCCATATTTTGAACATTTAAAGGCTCCACTTCCACTTGTTGATGTGCTCTCCAGCTGGGTCTGTCAGGAGCTAGGCTCTCCCATGTCAAAGGATTTACGTTGATCTTTTGACATGGGAGAGCCTTTAAATGTTCAACAGGATTTACGTTGAAGTCTTTCAGAGACATTTCGGGTGTCTTTGTAGCGCTGTTTGGTGCGCCAACTTTACGCTTCCCCGAGGACAGGTCAGAACACAACACTGCCTTAGGGATTCTGACATCTGGCATTCTTACGACACGGCCAGCCCAGCGAAACTGAGTTCTTTTGAACTTAGAAAAGAGACTCTCGGTACATGTATTTGTTGCCTTTTTGAGAACTTCGGTGTCTGGTATTTTATCCTGCCATTTGGTACCAAGAAATTTGCTGCTGCTACTGCTATGAATACTGACCACAGCTTTATCATTCGTCTCTCCCCAAGGTCGGCCCAAAAGCTCTGACATGTGTCCCCCTGGGTCCACTGGGCTGGTCCCACACCCAGACTTCTGTCAGCGATACTACAACTGCAGCGACACCTCCAGCAGACGATATTCCTTCCTGACAACCTTTGAGGACGAGTGCAAGTACCCCGACCTCTTTGACTACGTCAGCAAGACATGCAAGAATTTCGAGGAAGCGACGTGTTTGCCGGGAACAGAGATCGGCGTCGAACCCTGTAAGTGTTACTGGTTTTTGGGTTTCATTTGTTTGTTTGTTTGTTTGTTTGTCTGTTTGCTTGTTTGTTTGTTTGTTTGCTTGTTTTGCTTTTGCAAAGCGCACAGAACGTGTGCTTTTAATCGGGGTTAAGCGCTTTAAAAACTTCGTATTGTTATTTTTGTTTTTTATTTTTTAATCATAATAATAATGTCAAATGTTGTCATTAGTAGTAGGCCTATTATTATATTTATTATTTAATTTTTTTTTTTAAATAGTAGTAGAAAATATGATGTGCACTATAGGCTAGGTTAAGCTTGTTATAATTCACGGTGTGAGGGAGATTGATGGTCTCTTGATATCGAGTACATAAGGCTCGTAGCGACTTTGTTGAATCCTAATTCGGTAATTTATGTGTTCGTTGTATCCGAGTTCGCTGCATTATATGTTTGTTGAATCAAAGTTGTTTTGTTGTTTTTAAACATCTCAGAGAATCTGTCTCCTTTTCTTGACTCAGACATCGTTGAATCGGAGGTCCACTGTATTATTATCATCAGTAACATCTGAAAATATTCCGATTTTATTACTGATTTTTTTTATCTCCATGCCCCCCCCCCCCCCACTCTCTCTCTCTCTCTCTCTCTCTCTCTCTCTCTCTCTCTCTCTCTCTCTCTCTCTCTCTCTCTCTCTCTCTCTATTTCTCTTTCTCGTCTCAACAGGTGATTACTTGAAGAAAAGATGCTATGTTGCTCACTGCCAGCCGTGCTATTATAGTAGCCCCTCCTGCTTGGGACGCTCGGACGGATATCACGTGAGTCGATCACATCGCAATTTCATGCTATAAAAATGTTATTTTTGAATTTTTGTTAAACATATGGTTGAATGTAACAACACGTGAAGCAGCAGTGGGCCTTAAACATAATTTCTAACGTTGTTAGATCTTAAATCATCGAGGCCACCGCTCCTTGCTGTTTCCTATCGGTAAAGTCACCAGGGTGAGCAGTGTGGTGAGGACGTGAGTGTGTTAATCTCATTCAACTGTAGTTTGTTTTAGTAGAGGTTTTACGGCCCTCGCAACTGCATAAGGTCATATGAGCGTCAAGGGGTGTATGTCAACAGAGAAGTCCTTACAGGGAATCAGGCTTACTCTGCTCACCTCTCTAGCTTCAACAGCACAAAGTCTGCTTCGACCATCAAGGCACAAACATACAAAAGAAGTAGAGATAAATGACGATAGTAAGAGTTAGGAAAGAAAAGACAGCAGTTCCCTCTCACAGTTCAGGCACAGTTATGAGCATGGCATTGTTGAATCAGCCCATTTACATTTCTACTGTGCGTAAGAACATGTTAAGACACTTCAGTTGGGAGAGGGGTAGGGGAGGGGGGTTCTGTAGTTGATCTGGAGATTTTTCCGACTTTGCACCTGTCTTGTACAAAGATCGAATATATTCTAAACTACCCTCCGCGACTTTTATGACGATCTGTGAACAGTAAGTGTATGCTTTAGTCTTCATTTATGGCACTTAAAAATCGGCTTATCCAATAACTGTGAAAAAAACCTCGAAAAATCAGGCTTTCGGGGGTCATTTATCAAAAACGAATGATAAATTAAAAATTCCTGAGATTGATTTTTGGAGCTAGTTGTCGTTGACATTATGGGAAAGTTACATTAAAATTGAATAAGAACAAAGCAGAAAAATGGGATGATGTGCATGAAAATAGCATTTTGAGAAAACGGCCGTTAAAGGTCAGAAAAGGCCAACATAACTCTCTTTCTCTCTTTCCTGTAAAAACCTTCAAAACATATTTCAAACTAAAACATGGCTACTATTTGATAAAATTAACACTCCAGAATTAGAATGGAGCTTTCCTGTTAAAACTGAAGCATACAAGAGGTACAAAACATGCTTTTTGAGACAAAAAGTGGCAATTATTTTATTTTCATTAAGTCCTACCCTCTGCAATAAAATCCCGTCGAACACCACTTTAGGGTACAGAAAGTTTTTCAATCGTTTTTGGGCATTATTCAGGAAATATCCAGGCTATATAATAATCAATGATAATCCCATTTTTCGTAATATCTCCCAAAACCACAATTTTTATGTGCCCCACCAGCCCTGAAAGATGTGAATCAAAATCTACTCCCATGCACGTCTGTCTTCCCCAGGTACACCCCCTGAAAATGTGGAGTCCGTCCTATGTGAAATGCTACAAGAACAGGTCCATCGAATTCAACTTCTGTGATAGCATGCCAGCAAACACCAACCACTTCATGATTTTCTCTCCGCACACCAATACCTGTGTGCCCAAGTGGGACATCCCGAGAAAGTTTGGTGGCTTACAGCCAGACTGCTCGGCCAAACCACAGGGAAGACTGTACGTGACGGAAGAAAGTGACCGTGTCTACTACAGCTGTCCTTTCTCCAAGGTGTCTGTCTGTGACGATGGACAAGTCTTCAGCGGGGAGAGACAGACTTGTGTGGAAGCTTGAGACACGATAGACGGAGAGAGGAGAGAGGAGAGGAGAGAGGAGAGGAGGAGAGTTGTCTGCGCATCTGTCAAAGACAGGGAGTAATCTCCCTATTAAAGAAATGTAATATTTTCCGTTACTTTGCTTCTTTATAATCACCTGCACTTAATCAAAGTAATAAAATTTCTCAATCATTTATATTGTGTTTGCTTGTTAATGTCATCAGGATTGTTTTGTAGGGGCGGGATTTTTATGGTGGGACTGTTTGGGCCACATAATTGTTTTTCTCTTATTGAAAGCCTCCCACCACCCACCCACCCCCATCTCTCTCTCTCTCTCTCTCTCTCTCTCTCTCTCTCTCTCTCTCTCTCTCTCTCTCTCGTGCAGGCGTGATTTCTATCCAAAAAATGGACCCAAAAGCCCTCCACAGGGTAATCAAAGTTTTCAGCGGCCTGCTGGAGTTAGCCTGGAGAGAAAGGGTGAACACCGGCGTCATAATATGGTATGTGAGGAAGGTACAAAACAGCAGCAATGATTGCCTCTTACTGTAAGCTACACGATAACACGTGGTCCAGATTGCGTGTTGTATTTTAGTACAGAGACATAGTTACAAATTGATGAAAGGACGACCAGAAACACAGAGAAATAGAGAAATAATAGTGCAGTCAACAATTCCTAGCGCAACTTATTGTCACACATTTCCAAAACTATCCAACATAAACTCTCTGACTTTGCACAATGGCTTGCATCAATTTATCTTAGAAGATCAGTATTTTTGTAAAGACCTGTTAGCTCTTCTCTAGAACATTCCTGAATAAATCGCTACCTCAGAACTACAAAGTTCTATCTGCACAGCACCCAGCTTGGAGAAAATAGAAGTTGAAAACTTTGATTTTCACAACACTGTCAACATTTTTCGAAGGCACCAATATTCTAAATTATTTATGTAATATGATGCAAACTGAGTTGTAACAGGTGGTTTTTAAGTCATTTTGACTATGACTCTTTCCAGATATAAAGTACTAGCTGGGCCCCCTTTCGATGAAAGGAATGATCGGTGCATTAACATCAATTAAAAGTCATTGGCCTTTTGTATTATTTTACACTCTACTGGAATGGAGCAATAAAAAAGCGATGATGGGCATCAAATGAAAGGATCACAGTCGAATTTAGCAAAAATCAAAAAAAGAAAACTTGAGGCTAGATCTATACGGGTCGTAAACTTAAAATAGTGCTCAGTATTGCGCGACAATGCGCGATAGTATCGAACGGAAGTATGACTTGAAATAAACAAACCTGGCGGATTTTTTAAAATTACAGAGACAGAAGCACCAGCCTACAAAAGCGATAGGCGAAACAAAGAAATTTAGCTTTTGGCAGCAAAACTGTCTCAAAACTGAAAAAACGAAGGTCGTCATGATCTGAAAAATATTTTTAAATAATCTTTTGGCAAAAATCGCACGTCGACCGATGCAGCCACTAAAAAGCCTTTTAAATAGTAAAATTAGGCCAACTCAAATAGATAGATCTAATAGATTCCGTTTGCAGATAGAGCGTTGTAATTTTTAGCAAGACCTGCTTAGCTCAGAATTACAAAGTTCTATCTGCAAAATAGGAAATCTCCGGTTTTGGCCCCAAGAATTATCAAATACCATTAGTAACTTTATAGGGGTTTAGGGTTAGGGTTAGGGGTAGGGGTAGAGGTAGGGGAAGGATTTCAGGATTGTAGGATAGTAGAGTGGTAGAGTAATCGTTGGTGCCAAAACTGGAATATCTCGATAAATCGCTGGTGTATTTAGTTTGTGAGTACTTTGGTATTGTCTTCTCCTGTTATACTATAAACTATAGTTAATATCGATTTTGTCTTTCTTGTCTTTCTATATTGTATTCAACTCACTTTTAAGTTTATTCAGTGGTGAGTTTCTTAAAGCTCTTGACCGGGACATGCATCACCCGGATTCAAAACCCATCCACAGCATTTCATATACCTAAAAAATAGGTTTTCTGCCACAGTTCATCACTTTCTCACACCACCCAAGAAGTACCCAACTAAAGAAAAGGAATGATGTGGGTGGTTGGCGGGAGCTATGCTGTGGTTTGTTGCTTCTTTCCTATCAAACGTCCCATCGTCCTTATCTCCCCTCCTCTATAGTAGTAACATCTGTAATCCTCGGCACTAATACCATCTAAATGTGCTGTAAATGTAGTAAATCTCTTACTAAAACTAAAACAAACGTTTACGATATTGTCAGAGTGCACGTCACTGAGCACCGTCAGCTCGGGGCATGCTGCTTCACACCCTGTAGAAAGTTTTCGAATGATTTCGGGCGAGAGGGTTGGAAAGGGAGATACTAAAGAGATTTGGGCTCGATTATAATGGCTTTTTACAATCTATGTGTTTTTAAAATTTAATGTCTCCTTGTATTGCAAAGGATTGCCGTAAATTAATGGAATCATCAAAAATATAAAATTCAAAGTATACAAAATAATAAACAGCACACACGTATTCTAGACTGGGGTGACAAAACTATACAGCACTCTGAAATTATAAAACTGTATACTGTGATAGGTGAAATTGCAATATGATGCTCGGTTGGAACGTGTTTTTGGGGTGGGATTTTTTAAGAGGGATGGGAGAGGTAGACCCAGCAACATTTATCTCTATTTAAAAACACATTTTTTGGTGAATTTTACAGAAAGATTTTCATCAAAGACACAATATATTGTAAATTTTCTCTTTCCAGGGATTGAAAATCTTTTGGAGCCACTGAATTTCGGATGTCATTATCTCGTTCGCTTTAGTTCTGACAGCAGACAACCCTACCTTGTTCAATCGCAAATATCTCGACTTTTGCTCAAAGTAGATGTGTATTTTTTCACCACAAACGAAATAAATAAACAAACTTTAAAATGATAGCAACAACTTTACACATCCCAACACTGACGAGCGCCTGATTCAAATGTGTTGTGCCACAATTCTTCTCTTGCAGATCAAAGAGGTTATAAATAGAACTAGAGATCTCAGCTGTGACGTTTAGAACTGTGCAGAAAAAAAATGGTGCAAAATTGTGTTGTAATTGGATGTGCAAACAAACGTGAGAAACAGAGTAATTACAACTTTGACAAGTACGTGAATGACGTCACAGCTCAGACCTCTAGTTTTATTTACAACCGCTTTGTTGCAGATAGGTCTTTGTAATTCTGAAAAGAGCAGCTGGTATTGAGATAGAACATTGTAATTCTGTGAATATCTTGATAACGACTCTGAATTATCTTACAATTTTTATAGAACAAACAGAACATTTGCTTCCATGTTCCTTATAACTCAAAACGGCCAAAAATGTCAGATAGAACTTTGTTATTCTGAGGTAGCGAAATGCTAATAAAAAATCCCAGTGGGTGGTTTCTATAGATTTTAAAATGTTTACAGCTGCGACAATATCGCTTTTAAAAACAAGTTCGTCATGTTTTTTCTAATCGAGACACCATGCTTATTGAACGCGTTTCGAGAACGTTTAGTGCAAAAAAAAAGTGTTCACTATGAATTTAATTTCTTGTAACAAGTTTTGCCACTAAAAAGTGTCATTAGTGAGCTGTGACGTAACCCATATGCGTATACAAAATGTGTGTGAGAAGTGGGAAGTGCTTTGAACAATTTAATTTTCCGTGTGATGGAGATTTGTAGTATATTACATAAATTTATACGGAAAAGGTTTTTAATCTAGCCTCAATTGTTGTGGAAAAATATTAGTAAGTTAAGACATTTTTAAACAAACTGCTGTGCAAAATATGGGTGACTTTGATTCGCCCGGTAAAAAGATATTTAAGGATAAGTTGCTCCATTAATTTTTTACCTCACTGTAGGCTAATTCATAAATCTGTTTCAATAAAGGGGAAAGTGTTTGTATGCAGTCTGCAATGTCTTCCAAGCTAATTACATGTTGTCCAGTTCCTGAAACTGGGATTTTGCATGTCTGTCTTATACTGCAAACCAAGCCAACTCAAACATTACAGGAACAAACAGGAAAAGGGGAGCAGCAAAGAGAACCAAGAGTATAAGAACGTGGCTTCCCATTTTGTTCAAGGCCTCCTTTGAAACATGGATACAAAAAGTAGAGCAAACACAGCCCGCAAATCAGAATGAGCCTAGGCCTAATTTTTGCTGAAGGTGCGCTCTATGTATAACTGTCACGTCATGGCATTTTTTTAAATAGTAGGACTTCTAGGCGTTCATTGGTAGTTCCCTTAGAACACGCATCGCCATTTCGCTATAAAGTTCTGACATTTTTTACCGTTTTGAGTTATAAGGACCACGAGCTCAGAAACCAAATTATGTTCTGTCTCTTCTATAAAAGTTGCAAGATAATTCGGAGTCGTTATCAAGATATTCTCAGAATTACAATGTTCTATCTGAATACCAGCTGATCTATTCAGAAATACAAAGATCTATCTGCAACAAAGAGGTTATAAATAAAACTAGAGGTCTGAGCTGTGACGTCATTCACGTACTTGTCAAAGTTGTAATTACTCTCTTTTCTGACGCTCGTTTGCACATTTGTGCCATGATCAATTTATTGGGTTTTTTTTTACCCCGGAGGTAAGTAGCGAGCTCAGTTGTTTGTGAGTGCGGGTTGTTGAAGGCCGTCTCTGGTGGGTCCGGGGCCTACGTCTTTGCTCACCGACTTGTCTGTCTGTTTTTCTATCTGTCTGTCTGTCTTTTTCCCCTTACACCACACGGCGGATGCGACCTCGTCACATTTGTGTCGAGTTAGAGCCTGCTAAAATGACACCACGTGAAGATTGAGAAAGGACCATTTGTTGAAAGTTATGCAGATTAATGTACTGCATAAATTAGGAGGCTTCATCATCAGTTGAGTTGTATACAGGCCTATACGTACTTATACTATCTGACCGTCTAGATACAGGCGTTTGTGACGTAATGTTTGGCATTCTGCTGGAGAACACAAAAGATGTCAGTTCTATTCCAGCATGACGATATCACCTTCTTTCTGAACAGATCTGGCCCCGAAAGGCAGGAGTTGAATTTACGCACTTCGTG